CTGAGTCCCTAAAGAAGTTCTTTCCTCTTCGAGGCCTTTGGCCTGAAATATCTTCCAACCCCCAAGGGAGGTTTCACGCCTCCTCTTCCTGAGATGTCATGCCGGCCAGAAATCTGGAAGTCATCCTAAACTCCTCTTTCCTTTTTCTTCTTCAGATCTACTTAACACTAGGTCCACGGAGAAGTTAAGTACTTAACCCAGGTCACATAGCATTTGGTGGGTGGGCCTTAGGAGCCAAAATCTAGTGTTTAGGGGGTTCTGCTAAAGCACACTGATCCTGTGCTTACGGGGCAGCACAGGTGGGGGCTCCACGGAGGGTACTGAGACAATCAAGCCCCCCCCAGTTCCTCCTCTCGCCCCAAGGAACTCCTCTGTGTCAAAGGCAGGACTTGCTTCTGCAGTGAGTTTTTATGTCAAACTGTTATCTTTTGTTTTTTTTTTTTTTCAAAATTTTATTAATGAAATTTTCAGGCATCCAGAAAAGCTGGAAAAAGAGTACAGTAACACATACATCTACCACCGGACTTCAGCAACTGTTAACCCTTGCTGTACTTGTTTCATTCATCTATTGACCTCTCTATTGAATATTTCATTTCCAAGCGTTCCTTCCCATTTTCTGACTCTTCCTTTTTAAATTACCATGTTCTTATTTAATAGATATCATATCATTTCACATCTTCTTAGTGATAAGTAATTCATTTTTTAGAGTTTTTATTTGACTCTTCTTGTATTGCCTGAATTATGTTTCTTCTGGGGTCAGTTTTTCTGTTTATCTTTCATCACACTGTTAGATTTGTCTCAAACATTTGGTGATTCCAGTTGTCAGGCTATTCTTAAGAATGAGACAGGAGAAAGGCTGACTAGGAACTCTCAGTGCATGTGCGGAACTTGCTAACTGGCAGGCTTCGTTGCAGGGCCAAGAGTCCGAGATCTGACCGTTGTGCTGAGGCCTCTCAAATGCTAGAATGTAGACGGCTTTGTGCTGGGGTGCCAACGACAACTCAGAGGCCCAAGATTTCTCAGAAAGATCCTCCAGTGTCTTTAGAAGAGTCCCCTCTGGTCATGGGTTGGTTGGTTGGTGGTTTGGTTTTAATTTTGTCTGGGTTGAACATCTAATTGCTGGGGACTCTTGGTACCAGAGCTGAGAAGCCGGGATGGAGGATGAGCATTTCGTATACAGATCTTCACTGTTTTCCATCTTCTCTTCACTCCAATAACTTCTCTGAATCACAGCCTTAGCAAGGGTCCAGCTCCCCCGCCATCTGCAACACCCTCCAAGCATATCCTGGGCTATAGTGTCTTCCACTCGGTGCTCTTCCATGTGCTGTCTTCCAGAAACTCATGGAAATCGCTTAGCTTCTTGTTCTCTTGGCTGCATTTGGTATTGTACTTTTTCATATTCATTTACCATATTTTAAATTGAGTCCTAGGACGGAAAGGAAACAAATATGTATGCTCAGGTCCCCATCCTGGACCGCTAGCAAGAGTAGAGATTATTAGTCTCATTTTACAATCGAGCAGCAGAGGCTCATGTGGTTAAGTGACTTGCCTAAGATCACACGGCTAGAAAGGGAAGGACCAGGATTAAACTCGTGTGCTTTTGACTATGCCTTCTTTTTGTCCAAGCCATGACTCAGCTGGTATGACCTGGAGAAACAAGGATGTTCATAACACTATGCGTTTAAAATTTGCTGTCATTTGTGTTTAAAATGACTCAGAAACTACCTAGACTAAAAACTGTGTGATATAATTTTACAAGTTACATATCTAGAATAAAATGAGAAATCATCAAAGTTGTAAAAAAGCAGGTTTATATTTTATGAGTCAGACTTGGGTGGAACAAAGCTTGAGGAGAGAAAATTAGGAGGAAGGGCC